CTCGACCGGCCGGCCTCGGCGAGGGACCAGGTGGCCTGGTTCTGCCACTCGAGCTCGTGGCTCCGGCTGAAGATGCGGGCGCCTTCGATGAGGAGGATGATGGTGATGAACCAGAAGTCCTTCCTCTCGAGCGCGATGGCAAAGCCGCCAAGGAGGACCACTGGCGGCCTTCTCAAGGACGGCGAGCCGGAAGGCGAAGAGCGTCAGCTTCTTCTCAGGCGCTTCGAACTCGCCGTGGATTTTACATGGGTCAGTTGAATCGTTGCCGTGTTCTACGCACTTTGGAGGGGTGTCATTCCCATCTCCCTGAGGCTCGAAGAACGTCGAGCCGTAATGGTCAGCGAGCTTGATGCTTGCGCCGTCGGATTGCTCCACGATTCGCAGTCGAACACGAGACTCGCCGTCCCTTGTTTGCTCCATATATAGGAAGACGATCGAGGACGAGAGCAACTTTTGTTGTTTGCAGGTCTCAGTTCAGAAGAAATTAACAGGCTTTATAGGAACCGAGTTCGACGGCATGCTTGAGAGAGAGAGAGAGGGAATCTAAGAGGACGAAGGGCGGCCAACTTTACGTGGGATGTGGCTGGAAACTGTGCAAACTGTTCCTCCATAAAGCAAAGAGACACATGGAAAGGTGGAAGGGCAGATTGAGAGAAGATGGGGTGAGAGGGAGGAGACAAACAGCCAAATGAACTTTGGAGGCAAGTTTTTGCTAGCAATGGAGGAGGAAGAGTGAAGCTTGTGGCATCAATTTGGCTGCCCTCACCATCTAAATCTTGATTGTGATACTCGCAAGGCCTGTTTGCAAGTTTATGTGGAAGTATAGCAAGTTTATGCTTAGAGCTAAACATATTGTTCAGGACAATGATGATCTGGTGATACGATAGGAGAGTTACAGTATCCTAAGGAAGAGGATGATGCCATCTCATATGGATTGGACGATTGCTTGCTCACAAGCTTCCAAGCAACCACAACTGCAGGCATACATCATTCTCAAACATTCTCTTCTGCCAATCGTCTGTGGTATGAAAACTGAAGGCTGTCTTTGCTGACATGCTCACTCGGAAAAGAGCTTTCCATTCTGATTTGGAGTTCATCTTCAACCTTCGTCAGGGGGTCTGTTTCAGTGTTGTTATGGTCACAAGAGAGGTGTAGTGTGTAATGAATGGTCTCAAGAGGCACGGCCAGAGCAATTTGAATAGGTGAGCCTTATCCATGTGTCGTTTAAGAAAACAGAAGTAATGTGTTTTCTGCATCTGTTTTCGAGTTTTTGCTTCGAAAAACAACAACAAGAAAACACAAGTAAAGCTAAAACGAGGACGCTGTCACATGGTTCGCCGCAGATCGTCGAGCTCCGCCTTCGAACAGCATGTGGCCTTTCGCGAGGGGGAAACGAGCGTCGAAGGAGAAGGCCGCGGAGACGAGTGGCGAGGGTAAAGACCGGGAGGAGGATGGCCTTCTTCAAGAACTCGGAGTGACGGATCGGCTGCGCGAATTCGTCAAAACCTTCACCGTCGACACCTTCAGATCGTTCCCCCTTCATGGTTTGTGCATAGATACGTGTCTTTATTCGCGTGGAACGGTTCGGTTTACATCGATTTAGTGGTCGGTTGTTGCAGATGATCAGGCTGCAGACCCTGCCGACGTCTGCGCCCAGTCTAATGTCAGGAAGGATCTCACGGAGTGGCAGGAGCGGCATGCTACCCTGGTTCTCTCCGAAGTCAAGGTCTTCCCCTCCTACTCTTGTTTCGATCTGATATCTTTCTCGGCCTTTTACTTGTTTCTTCTTTGATTTCTTGATCTTTTCCATTAATAGAAATCATGGAAATTAGGGCATGGCTTGATTGAAGAACATCTTCACTTTAGGCATGTTAGTATAGAACTCAAGTGTGCTATTAGTCCTATTAGCGGCTGAATCCTCGAGTAGCAATTGCTTCTCCATTTGGTGCCTCTTTTGCTGTAATGTTTCATGTTTGTACCTTCTACTGCCCATATCCTCACAATAATTAGCTGTTGTCCTCGATTGCTTATCCTCAATATTGAACAATAATGCCACAATATTACACATTGGCTTTTGTTTCTATATTAACTTATTTGTCAAACCGTATAGCCACATCAACTTGCTTATTAAAAGAATTATATGAGTGTGACTTTTCTACATTCTTTTCTCTCAGGAAATTGCACAGCTTCGATATGTTTTGTGCCCTAGGCATCTGAAGGAAAGACAGTTCTGGAGAATATATTTTCAACTTGTTAAGAGCTATGTCGCTCCGTAAGTTCTTTCTTAATTTACTTTTGTAGTGTGTACCTGAGTTTGATTTGAAATGGGATGGGTGGACTATAGAAGGATGCATAAGAAGAATTTATCTTATGGAGAATTTGTTTTTGCATACCAAACTAATAAGTTCATTATGTTTACATGCACATGCAATCTTTATCACTGGGAACCTCTGCATAGGGAAGTTATAAAAAATTGCATTTCCCGGATCAAGACGTTTGTCATGTTAAAGATATCTTAGATTTAAGATTCTTTTTTATTTGAATATATTAGGGAGGAATCAGCTAAGGAGAATTGCCAAAAATTAGGCTCATATTGTAAAGATTTGCAGGATTGTTCTACTGATATTTGAGTTAAAATTTTATCCCTCTCGTTCGTGCTTGCTTACAATGCTATTTTTTTGGCCATAGAGTTTCTCAAAACCTCCCAATTCTTATTGTTGTTATTAATTGGGTTTCTTACTTATTTGTTCTGTGTATCATCAAGTTCATGTCTTGTTTGTTATCAAACTCCGGCTTGTAATTAAGTTCTCTCGAGTTATGTACCAAGCTCACCATGATCACTGAGACTATTTGAAGAACTAGTATGTAAATAAGTCATATCATAAAATTTAGCTTATGAGGAGTCATGTAACTTTAATGTTTGGAAGTGACCTTAAACTATGTGCTAAGTCCACTTGATCAGATCAACTTACAGGTGTTTCTCATAGTCCAACAGATTCAATTGACATCATTTAATATTGCACTGACAAATATTAACATTCTTAAGAAAAGTCTATGTAGGGCAAACCAAAAGCAATCAGTATGTTCAGCCTCCAGTGTGTTCTACATAATCAGTTAAACACAAATGTATCTGATCAACATAAATTTAGTATCACACAAAAAATTATTATTTACATTCTTAAGTAAGACAAATAAAGCAGACCAAAAGCAGTTGTTGTTTCAATCATTTGCGATAAGTATAAACATCTTGTATTGTACCTAACTGTATGAACTAAATAGGGAAAAAACTTCACTTGTTCCAGTTAGACAAGCGTCGGCCAACCAAATATATCGTCTAATTTAGTTGTAATTTAATCATCATTGATCAATGATTACTTGTGAAATCCCAATTTAGACCCATTTTGAAAGTGAGAGGAGCATTGAGTTGGTTTATAAGCTTAGATGAGTCTTTACTATCATCTCTTGCATAAGCATTTTTGGGCTAGTGACTTAGGCCTATCGGTTTAATGAATAAATTTTCTCATCAAATTGAGTTCTAATGGATGCAATCATAGCGGACCCAGTATTAATTATGGTGAGGGGTCTTGATAGGCCATGAATAGGGTAGAGGCACATCATACCGTGGAGCCGATATCGCATGCACCATACTCAGATTTGATTCTTAGTTGAATTGGGTCTTGACAAAAGATGCTGAGTCATAAAGGAAATTGTGACACCTTAATTTAGTCAAACATTTCAAGCTAGTGATTTAGGAGTGTCAAGTTTCTTCTTGCTGTTAATTTTGTTGTACTCCTCTGGGAAAAATTAATATAATGTGTATATATATCAAGTTAATCTTCTGAATTCTTTTGCCAGATATGAGATGCATGCCATACAGAAAGCAAGGATGAAAAAGTTGGAGATGGAGGTAGAAGAATCATTAATCAAGGGTGCTATTGAGGTCGAGATGGCAGAAACAAACCGTGGAAGTGGTTCATCGATGACACTGATAAGTAAAGAGAATTCTCTCTTGAAGGACGATATCGATAGAGTTTGAAAGGGCAGGTAAGCCATTCAAAGATCATGATTCATGCATTATGTTGAACTTAATGGTAACGGGTAATGAACTTCTTGGTAAAGATGTCTTTCACAGAGAACATTTCTGACTGGTGTATATAATCCAACTTTTCAGGTGAATCCTCGGCGTCCGCTGACACAACTGATGCAAAAGTTTGAGATATAAGTTTCTTGCAAGTGCATGGACCAAACCTTGATTCCCTTCATCTGTTGTTGGCATCCCCATTATGGACCTTCGAACAACAGCTGTCTTACCACTTAGCATGATGACTTCAAATCAAAGAAACAACTGACCTGACCTCTGAACAATCTCGTTTATCATGTGTTTCTTCCTTCTTGGCCTGGAACTGTTCTAGAAGCATGTGGAAGCCCGTTCAAGGTTGAGAACAGACAGGGACACGGTGTTCAGATGTAGAAGAAAGGTGTCATCGTAGGTCATGGGCAGTCCTAAAAGATTTGCATGGCTTATTGTTGATAGTTTAAACCTCATTGATAGAATGGTCAAAACCCCTCCTTTTTTCCCCTTGAGGTTGAGCTTCTTTTCTGTGTCTGTTCCTGATCGGTTGCTTTGGTGAAGTGTACCGTGACTGATCCATTTTGACCAGGTGTTACTTGTAGTTCAAATTCAAGTGAATTCAAAATCATGTAAAGCTTAATATGATAGGCTTATGGTGTGCAGATGTTTTTTGTCTTGAGATAGCCGAGAGACATACTGTAAAGGTAAAGGTTTCCAGAAATCTTGTTTGGCTTCAATAGGTGCAGGTGGATGGTCTCGCTTGAAGCGTCTCCTGCATGGATCAAGTGGCGAGAGGTAATCATGTTTTCTTTCAATTAAGTGACGTTTTGTTTTCTTTGCTAACTGTAGCTACGTTGTCTCTAACCGTGCAGGGCTTGTTCTTCGTTGGGTTGGGAGTCTTACGATTAGGTTGTACAGAACAACTTGATGGAATCTAATGCTGGTCGTTCAGCCATGTTAATCTGCTTGGACAGCAAGCATACAAGAGTGGATGAGCTTTCATCGGACCAGTTTAGGAGGACGGCTTAACATACTAAGTAGTTGATGGGTTTCATACATTAGCAAAAAGTTTGTAAGTCTTGGCATCCAAAGCAACTTGCCGCAGTGCAGAAATGGAGCCCAGAAGCGCAAGCATGGAGGATATCACGGCTATGGCAGTGTTGAGCCAGAAGACGACGCCCCTCTTGGAAGGCTTGAAGGTGAGGTTGTAGAAGACCGATGGCACCGCGAAGTCCAGCGGCAAGAACCCGTAGGCGCCGATGACGGCGTTGATGTCCCCGAAGAAAGGGAGCATGGCGGCTAGGAGGGTTGCCACCACGATGGACAGCGACCGGAAGATGAGCCTCGGCGTCACATTACGAGCTGAGTATTGATCCTTTCTTGGGTCGGCAAACAGGCCCTCCAGAACCTCGTTCGTCGGCTGCAAGTACACCTGCATGAATCATAAGTTCAGGTAAGCAACATTTCAGGAAACATAAATCTTTATCTTTCTTTTATTTATATTTTATTATTATTAGGATTTCATCTTTTGATTTTTATCTCATTTGTTAAAAGGTTGGATTTAACCGTAAGCACCCTACCCAAAACATTCCCTAATATTGAATCTTGGGGTAACGTGGCAGCACATCATTGGTCAGAAGAGGCCACAAAAGCCTCTTCCTAAGAAAAACGACAACGAAAGATCATTTTGAAGTGAGAAAACATTAGGAGAAAGTCAAAGAAATGAATCCGAAGATGCATTTGTTGTCCTAACCATATTCCTCGGCTACGTGTAGGTAGGCATTTGTCAAGGAATCAACTAATCTTAGTGAACGTATAGGTAGCGAGAGACGATTTAGGATACAATTCAAAAGACGAAATCTTAATAAAAATTTTATTTATTTTTATTATTTTTCTTATAAATGATAAATGACGAAAGAAAAATTCAAAGCGCAGGTGATTGCTCAAAATTTTTATCAGTTTATCAAAATCATTTTTACCACTTATCCTTAATAATAATAATAATAATAATAACAATAACAATAACAATAAGAATAACAATAACAATAAGAATAAGAATAACAATAACAATAACAATATGAATAACAATAACAATAACAATAACAATAAGAATAACAATAAGAATAACAATAAGAATAAGAATAACAATAACAATAAGAATAACAATAACAATAACAATAAGAATAACAATAACAATAAGAATAACAATAACAATAACACTAACAATAACAATAACAATAACAATAACTTTAATAATAATAAATAATAATAATAATAATAGTATAATTTTATGTTTTGCTTAAATGTTCCGAAAGCTTACACGTGGAAACAAGCTGTACGTGTTGTTCTTACCACTCCGACGGCTGCTAGTTGGAGAAGGGTTAATGAGGTGGTCATGGCGAGGAACCACTTGGGCACGAGGGTGGTGCCGTCTTCCAGATCGAAGTTGGCAAGAACGTAGCCATGGGCTCGGTTGCCGAATGCCCAGTACCCGGAGATGGCCACGCTGAAGAAGGTCGCCACCACGACGGCGTAGCAGAGGCAGAGGCCCTTGAACATCTTCCCCGTGACGGGAGGAGCAACTGTTGCCTGGAGGCAGAGCAGATGAAGCAGCACGCAGTCAGAGTCGGTCGTCACTGTCGTAGCGAGGGACATTGATGACTGACTTGTATCTCCGGGATGATGCCGTTGCCGTAGGTGGTGGCGATGATGGCGATGGCGTTGAGTGCACCGAAGAGGCGGTCCTGGCCGTTGCCTGGAAGGGAGTAATCCCTCTGTGGAGCATTTGTGCCTGCATGAATGGAACCTGCAGCGGCACAAGCACTATAGGACAAGCAAAGAAGAAGAGAGACGAGGTTGATGTGCCTGAGGGAGTGGAAGGACGGGATCTGTGCGAGGACCAGCATGAAGGCCCCGAAGACGATCACGAACTCATGGAGCTTCATCGTCCCTCCCGGCCTCGCGATCAAGTAGATGGTCTGCAATTGCAACGCAGAGGCTGAGACTTAGCAAGCCGAACCGAGCGCTTACAGCCGGAGATGGACGGAGGCAAAGACACGGACGGACGGACGGACCTTCATGCTCTGCCCTCCCAAGAGGACTTGGCCGACGACCGCACCGAAGCACACCAAGAACTGTATCGGACCAACATAGAAGCGACCCCATCCTGGCCCTGTTGCATGCCAACCACAGACGTAAGCACCCTTTCTTCTCTTTGTTTTTTCTCGAGGTGACATTTTAACAAACACAAGAAGAGCAACAGTCCTCGCTGACAGCTGCACTTGGAGTAGTAAAGGAATCTCGAAGCGCACAGCCTTCTTCGTTGACACTAATTGGATTGTGGTCTTGCGGAAGATGGCAATAGATCTCTCTTGATCCACGTCGAAGCTTGGCTTTTAGTGGTAGCCACCATGGATGAGTGCATGTAACTGTTCTTGAGGAAGACCCAAATGTCACAATTGACAGCCATGTTGCCGGTGGAACTCTGTGCGTCCACCACCACAGAATCGACGGGCGGCGAATGACGGAAACGAAGGGACCTAATGGACAGGATATCAAATATAAGTATGAGATTACCAAGGATGTCGTGAGCCATGTCGCGGAAGCGTAGTTGTCGGCGGCCGAGCTGAGCGTAGTGGTCGAGAACCAGGGAGAGGAGGTTGTAGGAGTAGAAGGTGACGACGGCGCCCACGACGAGGCACGCAACTCCGGGCGCCCAGCCGAGCGACGCCAGCGCGAAAGGGAGGCTGAGCAGGGCCGGGGCCACGATGGAGGTCGTCAGATGGTAGCCGCAGTGCATCCACGAGCCTGTACTTGCGTCGAACACTCACCACGCAAATTAGTCATCCCTGTTCAGGTGATAAAATCCCCAAACCAGAGAGAGAGAGAGAGAGAGAGAGAGAGAGAGAGAGAGAGAGATTGTCGGGACCTTTGGACTTGAGAACAAAGAGAGCTCCAGCATCAAGCTGATTTGGGTCAGCTGCAGCAACATCACGGCCATGGCCGACCACTGCCTCCTCTGCAGCCATGGAGTCGCAGAGGAGACTTCCCGTGTCGGTCGAAGATGATGAGGGGAAATGGGAACTCAATCACAAACGACTTTGGTTACCATGCGACAGTTTTGAGTAGGCGCATAGGCTAGTCTTCATCGCAGGTTCCAAAAAAAGACGGCGCCTTGCAGATTCCGGAATCTTTTTGGAAGGCCGGCCTGTCACCACAACACACGACCTGTGGACTTGACCGTGCCATCAATCAAGAAATCGATATCAATACAATCAATAAACATTCGACATGGTCGCGATCCAAAGACTTCAAACGCAAAGCCTCCTCGATCCAGAGGGTATGTAATGATTGATGCCAGGAGGAAATAAACATTATTAGGTAATCAAAGGTGGGATGATTTGTAATATCAGAATAATGTTTATTTAAACCAATTTAATTTATCGCCGTGAAAATTAATTAATTAATAACCTTTTTCAGCATAGTAATAAAAATGACAGGAAAATTTTCTCCTTCGTTCACCAAAATCAACTGCTGGCTATGGGGTTCGAACCCATGCGCACTTATGTGCAGAAGATCTTAAGTCTTCCCCCTTAACCACTCGGGCAAACCAGCCACACAGTGAAATGTTGATCAAGCACATAATTTGTCTAATATTCTCTATGATTGAGACAATTGCATCAAAAATAATAATAATAAATAGAAACGTACAGGTGATGATATAGAGAGTAATTCTAAGAATAAAAAGGAGTCTCAAATGCCATAAATTCCTGAAATATGCTTAACCAACCAAAAGTAGTAAAAGATAGCTCAAACCCGTTGCTTGGCAATTGACTTCTAACGATCACATCTTTTGGAAAAATGCTATGAATAATATTTGGGAGAATTAACACATAAATATAATGATTGTTTTGTGTTATGAATAATTTGTTTTAAATGTTTGATTCACAGCTTCGCAACCGAGAAAAGATGCTAATACCGCACAACATAATTGACATCATCAAAGAGTAGGAGTAGGCATCACCAGAATGTTTACTAATCATACCAATGCCAAATTTATTTTAATCAAATAATCAATCCCTCAGCTACTTGAAAAACCAATAGGAAGAACAAAACTTGTATGACTGAAACTTCAGATTTTAAACCAAGAAATTGCTAAGACAAAAATGGGGTTACGACTCTTCCCTAAACCAAGAAATTGCAGGATACAAAACTGGACATGGCCACAAATTGCAGGATACAAAACTGGACATGGCCACACCACTAAAGCAACTCACTCTTCATCAGAATCTACTACATATTTCGGCCAGCTCAATTCCCAGCGGCGCAATGCTTCGCTTTGATAAGTGCTTGAAGATAATTCAGAGTAAAAAGTTCTGAAAAAAAATATAAATGTTTAATAATTATTATCACGGTAGCAATTATCAAAAAAGAAAATAAAATGAGAATGAAGACAAATTTAAGGTGTGTGCTGCATGGTTTACATGAGAATATGCCGGCAGATTTAGGGCCTTTCTTCTTGGAATTGTTGGTATTGGCAGGAGATTTCCCCTGTTTAGCAGGATAGGGGGTTGCAACATGGCCAGTTTTCTTGGCGCCACCACCTACAAATAAATTGTTGGCCAGTATAAATCCAGATGAACCAATAAAGAAAGCTGCATATCGACAACCATGTCCTGAAATATGATGGAAAGATCTACCTGTTTTCTGATTTCCAGCAGGGGAAATCAACTTTGCCTTTTTTTCTTGGCCAGGGGTTTTTTTTAATGCAGAGCCAGCTGGCCTTTTCTTACCAGTTTCGACCTGCAAAAGGTACACAAATAATTACATGCATCTGTAAGTTTAAAGAACAAAATAGTTCATCATAGAAATTTACCAGCTTAGGAGTAGCTTCTTCTTCATCATCTGAACTATCATCCTCATCTTCTTCGTCACTATCGTCCTCTCCATCGAGCATGTCCTTAAAGAAAATCAGTGAAAAGTCAATCAAATATCATAGCCATAGGCACATTCCTATGCTTATTAGGTAGATAACTGCAACACTACCAACAAATTCCTTCAAACTGTACAACCAATAGCACCCCACTAGACATAAATCAAGCAAAAGCGAGCAGAGCTATTAAACCAAGAAGCAGTAGGATGAACAATAACTAGATAGCAGCCATTTCAAGTGCTTGCACCAACCTCATCATCACCAGATTCATCTTCTTCAGACTCATCATCATCATCATCATCATCATCATCAGTGTCTTCATTGGTTTTTTGCTTTTCATCCTCTTTAGGATCCTCTATCTTAGGCTTTGGCTTATTAACCGTAGCATCTGACTTCTGAGCATTTGGTTTTCCACCAGAGAGCTTGGGCTCTTCATCCTTTACCTCAGATTTGCCTTGAGTTCAAAAGAGAGAGATAGAGAACGAGACAGAACATATATGAGGAAATAATTTGTAATTCTACAAAAAAAAAAAAAAACAGATTTTGACTCAGAAAGCTAGAAGATTCAATAGTCCAAGCAAACGTATTAATTTTATTATCATCCCCAGAATGGTAGGAGTCATATGTTGACAACTGCCAAAAAGTAGATGAGTAAATTGTGAAAGATAGATAGATTATTCAACATAAAGCAACCATGTCCAGATCATTCATCTGGAAGCATAAACAAACAAAAGCCAAATGATTATGATCATCAAATCAGCAACGTACAAGATCATATTCTGGTGAAACATAAATCTACATGCACATGTAAAAACACAAAAATGCACTATGGGAACATACCATTGACATTCTGAACCACTTGAATATCCTCCTCATCAGATTCAGATTGGCTATCTGGAAATTAGTAAGAAGTTACCAACCATTTCATTGAAAACATCAAATTAGATAAAATAAACAAATGAAAAAAATTAGAAGGCAGAAAAACAACTTACCCACATCATCAGACATAGTAGAGGCAGAAAAAGAAAAATGCCCAGTCAAGGAAATCAGAACTTTAATATTATGAAACCAACTAATTATAACATCAGATTCGTTAACAAATAATCTGATAACAGATATCAAAAGGATATAAATCATAGTCACCCTGAGCTTCAGTCTTATAGCCAACAAAATAGATGCTTGTATTCTTTGAACCATGAGAGAGTTCAAATTCTTTTTCAAACAGCAAATCATACTGGATTTGAGCACAATTCCCAGCCGAGAGAGTTCCAAGAACTAGCTTTCTGTTATCAAACTTTACAAATATTGGTACCCTGTCATTTCCTTTGTCCTTTATCTCCCCCAGTGATGCCTGCATACATAATGATAATTTTCAACAAGATTTTATATTAAACTGATTAGAACACATGTATCACCATGGGGTTGAGTAGAACCTGTGATAGATGCAAATATTTATTCTCTCCAGGATTAACCTTCACAGTTTTACCAGGTTGAACTTCCAGACCTGAGAGTTGCAGTAAAATTAACAACATGTGACTTGCTAACACCTACTACCATTATTTGGTAAACAAAACACCAAAAAAGGGAACTGTCATAACAGAGATCATTACTTGCATCAGCAATAAAACTCATGTTATTTTGTTGGAGAGAGTTTATAAAAACTAAAATAAAGCCTCAAAAGCCAACCAACACTAGATCAGACCATGATCTAATAAGAAAAGGTTATTCCTTGAAATACAGGCAAAACTTTGTTGGTGTTATAATTTAAATAATGTATTTATGAATCCTAGGGGTCAAAACATATGTTACTAGCATGAGCTGATGAATTATAGTAAAATCAAGGTAATGAAGAAACAATAACACTTCAAATGCCTTAACTACTTATATCAGGTTACACTCTTAAAGACTTAGTTGTAGATACAAGTACCAAATTATATCCCAACAGATATATGAATCCTGATGAACCAGTTCATAAGACACCATCTATGTGTGCTAAGTATTTACACAGAGAGAGCCTTCATCACACAAAACAAATGTTTCAACACATCAACAGCTTTCACATGGGCAAGAATATCCTGCCGAGTAATATGCATATGGAAATGCATCTACAAAAAGGTAAACTGACCATAACAGTAACTCTATCAAGAGAAAAGGGTTTCCATCATACATAACACACATCAACTCGTATACAGAAAATAAATAAATAAATAACATATATAGAGATAGAGGCTCCCACCAAATAATATGTACAAACTCCAATAAATATGAATATAATCTTTTTTATACGTTCTATTAGAAGGCAGATCCACAAAGAGGTGAGCTTGCAGACTTCCAAGATCGGTAATAGAAAAAACTCTACTCCTACATTGACTACCTTACAAAAAAATTCCTTTACTGATAACTACTAGTTAGAGCTTACTGGTAAGGAAAAAAAATAAACATATTATCTAGAATTTTTTTGCATGTCTATCATTGATAAAAATGGAAAAGTTTCACGACACAAAAAGAAAAACAATTGACAACTCGGGGAGTCAATGGAATACTATATAGGTAATGGAAAATTATAATATCCAAACTAAAATACAAAAACAATTTAGGCTTCTGAGGGATAGACTATGAGCAACACATGTCATCTTTCCTATACATGTGGGTTGATCATTAAAAGGAAGCCAAATACTATTAAAGAGAGGAATAAACGTATATGTATCCTCCAATATATGTACCAAAATCTTCAGGCGAATACTATCAGACGACAGGGTTCAAATAACACAAGTAGATACTGAACGGAGCAAATGCCATCGACTGAAACCTAAGTAACCGATTAAACGAGCATCGAACACAAAGAAGAGAAACGCAAACAGGCACCAAGCAATCGCGTGAAGCGAAGATCAGCAGCGCGTCGGAAGAGAATGGGAAGAGGATTTACCCCAAAACTCCATGGCGATCGGCGAAAGAGGAGAGTGTTGGGAAGAGCGAGGGCTTAGGCGAGAGCGCGAACGACGGGGCTAGAGATTTAGGGTTTTGGGTTTTGGGCTCCGAACCAAGCGCGATTTAAAGGCGAGCGGAAGCAGCTCGGGGGCGCTTGGGTCGTCCATCTCGGCCGTGGATAAGTGTTGAGATTCGTGCAAGTTGGGGTTGCTGATTTGGTATGATAGGGTCACGGAGGCGTGCGGCATCCCGGTAAAAAAAGGCATCGTTCCGGTTCAAATTTCCGGGTTCGGGTTTTAAAGCGGGCGACGTGTGGATCCGATCCGGTACCCGAGTGCCAATTCCGAATTGGATTACGGTTCATGATTTGGAGCCTCGGAGGCGTCAACGAGACCCCAAATGTTCGGCATGGATATGATCGTATTTAAATTAGATCCACGAATAGGATTAGTCTTGGACCAATTATCATAATTAAATTTAAATTAGAATTTCTTAATCACATATTAGTGACGATGAATCTATTTCCTCACCTTCACCGAATACAATAGTTTATTCATGTGAAAGATGGATAGAGTCGATCAGCGATGACTATCTGACCGTATGTGAGATGACATCGACGGACCATCGTCATGCTCGATAACTCAGTCGTAGAAGTGGACTCTTCGGACGATGCTTGCAAAAGGGATGTCGATGGTGATGAATAAATAAGAAAGAAAATGATTCATTATAGACGACTATCTTGTAGACCTCTTTTTAGACTAATGCTTAGTGGAAGTGTATAATATGTCTGATACAACCTTTGTGAGCAACACATCTATTCATGCTCACAGTACCAAAGCATGATGCAACCTTCGAAGCCAAAGTGTCTTCTCACACTCAATACACCCTAATCTAACGAAAGAAAATATGTGATGCACTTAAAGACGATGTTTGCGGGTGAAGTATCCATACATGTTCTAACCAGTCAAGGTGTGAAATGGTATCTAATGAAATATTTTGGATCAACAAATCTCTTTATACTCGATATATTCTAACAAGGTAAAGTGTCGTACAACACGATCTGATCTTTGTGGCTATAATGTTGTTACTTTGTGCTTAATGCAAGTGTGTGCTGCGCCGAAAATAGTGTTGGTGATCAAAATATCCTTCATGCTGGACATGCCATGATTAGATAAAGCATGCAATGTGCTAGATATGTACTTTATAGCCAAAACATCATCTCCCTATGCTTGATATATCCTAACGGGGCATAGTATATATATAATAACTCGATGCAACCTTCGTTACTAAAGTATCTCATCTTGCTTAACATATCTAATGCATTCTTTGCGGCCAAAGCATCTCTTTGTGATCAACTCATACATTTGATGCTCTAGCCACAATTCTCACAACTAAGGCATCTCCCACGTGCAAATGATCTCGAAGCACTCTATTCTTTAACTCTTTTTGATGTGTTGTCAAATCCTCTAGACATACATACATTGCATTTATATGTGAAAGTGCAAAGTAGGGTATGATGCAACCAATATCTTAGATCAATCGGGACTAGATATGTGAAGCTCAACAACTTGATCTATAATGTTCAAGATCCGAAACCTTTTTTATTCTCACATCTCAAACTCTAAGTGACTTGAGCAATGTAGTGATCACAATCAACACATCTTTAGTATTAGTTTTATATATGATGCTCATGACATGAATAACTCTTATCTATTCTAAAGATGCTACAACATTCAGGTTGGCTCGACTCCATCATGAATCAATAATCAATTCAAATACTAATACCTTTTGAATCAATTTTGTTTTACACGTAATAGAAGATATATTATCACTTAATCATGTACGAGGGAGGATAAATGAAGCTTCCTTTTTGTCATTTATCACAAGTAAGATAATTACAAGTTTTTTTCTTATTATTTAATAAGAAAGATAATTAAAAACTTTTTTATTATTTATGAGAAGAAAAATAATTATAAACTTTCTTCAATCTTTATGATCAAATATAAAAGCTTATCTTTAATACAAAAAAAAAGGGACTGAAATTTTTTGACCACTCACGTTCACACTTGGAGACTTAAAGTCACTAACTAAAGCAACCAAGATACTGAGTCAAAAAACCTCTCTTGATCTTCATCTTTGTGTAGGTGGCATCTCAGATAACCCTATAAATATGGGTCCGGACCATATTATGTTAATCAAGACATCAATGATATTTTCTCTTAATATTTTAGTATTAGAAGGAGGGCCCGATGTTACAAAAAATATCTGCCAAACAACCCTCTCGATGAACGCTCAAGCGAGGAAGTACCTTCACTCATGGGACAACAACCACCCTTTCCACACGAGAATGTATCTACCTTAACACAAACATTGATGTGATATTGGCATCCATTCAATGACTCGAGTGCAATACCGAGTCATCTACTCATCTGGCTATGAGTCATCTACTCATCTGGCTATGAGTCATATTTGTCAAAACTTCTTCTCATTCAGTGAATTATAATCTTTCATAATAATTCATTCGACTCATCGATTACGGATGTACTAGGCCACTACATCGTAGTCCATATATAATACAAGAGAATCCAATCCACTGAATTTGTTTGTCCTTAGTTACCGTATATTTAAAGTCCCTCATCCATCTAATATCTCAAAGATAGTATACCGGGCATAATACTATTAGCTCTATACAAAATCTACTCGAGTCTCGCTCTAATCAGATTCTCCCAAAGAATTATTTCTCTCTCAATCCGAATGAGTCTAGCTAGGGATTTACATAAACAAAAATATATAGGATATTCCTCTCACAATACTAAAAGCGGATATTCCTCTATCGACACTCAATTATCCTCGTAAAATTGGCTATCACTCTCAATGACCGGTTGTACTAGATCTGAAACTTTCAGACCTATAAGTTTGGTATCAAAGAGTGGAGTACTCATATAAGACATCCTTGGTGTCTCACGTCTAAGGGCCAGACATACAACTAAGACCACAGAATCATTATCTAATAATAATGTATCATCAACCATCCATCATTCCGTGAGTGGATCAATCAGTGAACCTATTCTCCAATTAGCACCTACACTGTATCTCTAGTATCCCCACTTGAGTAATTATGAAACCAACCATCTCCATCATATAGATGGATATACAAGACACTAGTCTATCCGATTATCTCAATATCTCTCTCAAGTAATTTATGACCAAAATTATTTAGGGTCTACATTTAAAGGTAAATCGATCTCACTATTAAGATCTCATCATTATCTGATTCTAGATCTATGAACATCACAAATATGTGGAGGATGAATGATACACTATAGCGGAAGCATAAATTAAAATATGTCTGAGGTGCATATATCAGGAAAACCCAACCTATAAGAGAAAATCCTGAATGCTCATGTATCAAATAAACTAAATATCACATTTTGAGCCCCTCTCTTGAAAGAATCCCGAAACACGTCTTTAGAGGGTGGGGGTTAAATGATAGAGGATATATTATCAGCTAATCATTCGATACATAACCGTCACATGACACCCAATGAGAGATGATAAATTGAAGTTTCCTTCGTGCCATTTGATGAAAAGTAGGATAATTATAAGCTTTCTTCTTATCATTTATGATAATAAAGATAATTATAAGTTTCATTTTTATCATTTATAAGGAGAAAGATAATCACAAACTTCCTCTAATCCTTATGACAAGTATAAAGACTTACATTTAATATAAAAAAAAGGGGACTGACATTTTTTACCACTTACATCCTCATTTAAATACTCGAGATTACTAATAAGAGTGTCGAAAGGATTTGAGTCAAGAAACCTTTCCCGATTTCGGTCTTCATGTAGATGACACTATAGGAACTCTATGTTTTCACCTAAGAGAATAATATGCATACGAGTTTGGATTATGTCGAGTTAATTAAGATATTAATAATATTTTTTTCTAACAGAATATATTATTATCATTAACTTAACATAGTGCTTAATAATACTCTCGAAGTTGGTAGGTGGGTTCTATATTTTTACCTTAAAGGTATCTTACATAATTTTATATATATGTCTAAAATATATCGAATTGATTAAAATATTAATGATACTTTTTAATAAAATATATTATTATAATTAATACTAGTTGCTGTTTTCGATAGCAATTATGGTTACCGCAAGTCTTCATTATATTACTCTGACATGATAGGTGATAGATAGCACTTGAAAGTATCAGTGACCCTACTATAAGCTGCCTTCCAAAGTTGGTCAGATAGGCAAACGGGTTGGCCTATACTGATTCTTCCATCCATCATATAACCACGCGTGGAACAACACATCACAACTGGAAATCAGATAGTTTATTACATCTGATGAGCTGCCTGTTTTAGGAGCAAAATGAGTGTGTCCGCGCTTCATATTTATCACTGGAAATCAGAAAGTTTAATTTGTGTTTTGATTGTGACTATTGTTAACAAACTTCTGAATGAGGTGTGATCCGATTATCGATGGTCATAATCGTTCTTAAGATAAGATATTCGTTGGATCGGGTTGAGCTCAGGGTTGGCTCCGCACGTGATTCTTCGACCTGCATGCGGCTTGCTTCGTCGTTGCCTAATGTCAGTTAGGTTAAGTTTCTCGACTTGATCCATTCGAAGGTTAAGTTAGTATCAAGTGAAGTTTTTTTGGTAGAAGGATAGCCCCCCCCTCGCCTGATGCCGTTCATGGGATTTTTATGCTTATGCCCGAGAGTTGATCGTACATGATCTGACGATGGCGGCCAACTCCTCGGGTGATCGACTTGTACCATTGAGCGACCGTCGATCGACCTGCATGGAACGACGTCATGCGGCGCCGTTCTTAACTTTTCGAAGCGGTTCTCAATCGTACGACACTGTCTCGTGTGGCTTCGAACAACGCGAGAAGGGGTGACCGTCGTCCCGAGTCCGAGGTGGCACATCCGACACAATGCTCCATCTCGGTCCCGAGGCGCCATGTCCATGTTGACGTGTTTGCTTATTATGTCCACGAGGGCGATACCAAAATATGCCCTATCAACTATTATCATGCCAATTTATTGTGATTGATGTAATTGATGTTCAGTTTCATATGACATGATATTTTTTTTAACATTATTCGTGTGGTAAAGCAACTCCACACTTGTTTGTGCTCGGAGCTTTTATTAAAGGCAAATGACCTGTTCTATTGTTCTCTGCTTTACTTGTGCAAATCATAGCCGACTCGAATCAGTCATTTGTAATTTGACAAATAATTTATATGAGATACATAATTGATAAGCTTTCATTTGAAATTTTCTTTTATAGAACATAAAATCTCCAAGTGAAACTCCGATTATCTTCTTCATTTTTTTTTTATTTTTTTATTCATAAGTAATTTTCGTAATTGGAATATAATAGATGTTGTCATGTGACAAATTATAAAACTTATAAAAGACAACACAAACTAGTTAAATTAATTAAAAATAGAAAATTCCAAATGGTTCCACAGACATTAACTAAATGTTGTGCAATATTTAATGAAATAAATAAAATTAAAAATTACCATTTTACTTGAGTTCGTTTCTAAAAGATAACATTTTGTGGATGAAATAAGAGAAAAAAAAATCATTTAGCTAATGACTCTATGAAGAAAATAATATCTCATAGAGGAAATTCAAAACACCTCAAAGAAGAATAAAATTCGCCCATAAAATAATGTCGTTGGACACTAATTTATGGGCCGTATACGATTTCTTTGGCAGGAGAAGGTATTGCGACGTACAATTCTGACTTCATACGCTACGTTACGACAAACTTGTCGTCGTCTTTGAATGGGCTGCTCAACCACGCGGGCCCAAATCTACGCCCGACGACCACCGCATGGTGGTCGTCGCTGCTTCGGTCCGCAGTCTGCTGTGCCGGCGCCTCCGCTTGCTCGCGCACGGCAGAGGACGCCAATCCTTCCGACCACGGCGGCTCGCAGCCTCTCTAATCCCAATTCCAGATTGGTAATCTATACACATACACATACACAGTGGCAGCCACTCCAATTCGACATCGGCCCTATCTACCAACCATTCAAGAAATCTTCTAACTTGACGCCTTGGATGGGTTCATTGTATGTGAGTTACCGAACTCTAGCGGATCTTCTATTGAACCCCAGTGGGATGTAAATGTGAAATCGAATCCAACGGTTTGCCTAAGAAATTGGGAACTGGGAAGCGTGCATCTCTTTGTGGTAGGTGTGAGATCTGGTGGAACCACACCCGCCCCCCCTTCCTCTCTCTCTCTCTCTCTCTCTCTCTATCGCCCCCACCAACCAGCAATCATCGTCGATCTCCAATCACACAAACTCGCACGACTTTTGTAGTCCCCCCCCCGCCTCCCAATCTCCCCTTCTTTCTCTTCACTCTCTCTCTCTCTCTCTCTCTACTGCTTGTCCTGAGCCCTTCCGCTTCCACCTTCTCCTTCCTCGTCCCCTTCCTATCCTCAACGGTTGACTTTTGGCCCCGTTCCTTCTACCTTTCTTATAGCGTGTTGTAGTGCTGTAGTTATCCTGGATCGGGCAGCAGCATGTCACCGATGGCGGCGGCTATGCTATCCTCTCACCCTAATGTGATGCCGAATGTGACGGCGCCTGCGGCCACCGCTGGATCCGCCCGTCTCCTCCTCCTACTCCGCCGCCGCCGCCACGGGCGCCCCCAGGCCGTCCGGTCCATAAATCGCCCGGATCCATCAGATCCGTTTCCTGGCACACTCGGGATCAGCCGCGTTGACTGGAAGGCATCATGCGCCTTCCTCTCCAGCAAGGCCGCCGCTGGCCCGGGCTCGTCTTCCGACAAGCCGCTCTCCCCCTCCGGCGACCCCCCCGCCGCCGACCCGGAACCCGACGACGACGACGACGGAAAAGGCGGCAACCACCGCCTCTCCGCGGCAATTAACGGCGTGAGGACGGCGGGGGCGGGGGCGCTGGATCTGGTGCCGATCTCGAACCTGCCGCGGCCGCTGACCATCGCGGACCTGTCGCCGGCGCCGATGCACGGGTCGCGGCTCCGCGTGGCGTACCAAGGGGTGCCGGGCGCGTACAGCGAGGCGGCGGCGGGGAAGGCGTACCCCAACTGCGAGGCCATCCCGTGCGACCAGTTCGAGGTGGCGTTCCAGGCGGTGGAGCTGTGGATCGCGGACCGTGCGGTGCTCCCCGTGGAGAACTCCCTGGGCGGCAGCATCCACCGCAACTACGACCTGTTGCTGCGGCACCGGCTGCACATCGTGGGGGAGGTGCAGCTGCCCGTCCACCATTGCTTGCTGGCGCTGCCGGGCGTGCGCAAGGAGTACCTCACCCGGGTGATGAGCCACCCGCAGGCGCTGGCGCAGTGCGAGCTCACGCTCACCCGCCTGGGCCTCAACGTCACCCGCGAGGCCTTCGACGACACGGCGGGCGCCGCCGAGCACGTGGCCAACAACGGCCTCCGGGACACGGCGGCCATCGCGTCGGCCCGGGCGGCGGAGCTGTACGGGCTGCAGGTGCTAGCGGACGGGATCCAGGACGACAGCAGCAACGTGACGAGGTTCGTGATGCTGGCGCGGGAGCCCATCATCCCGCGCACCGACCGCCCCTTCAAGACCAGCATCGTCTTCGCCCACGACCGCGAGGGCACCTCCGTCCTCTTCAAGGTGCTCTCCGCCTTCGCTTTCCGGGACATCAGCCTCACCAAGATCGAGAGCCGCCCGCACCGCCACCGACCGATCCGCCTCGTGGACGACGCCAACGTCGGCACCGCCAAGCACTTCGAGTACATGTTCTACGTCGACTTCGAGGCGTCCATGGCGGACACCCGCGCCCAGAACGCCCTGGCCGAGATCCAGGAGTTCACCTCCTTCCTCCGCGTCCTGGGAAGCTACCCCATGGACATGACCCCATGGGGCGCCCCCTCCTCCTCGACAAATCCTCCACCACCGCCGCCCTCCTGCTCTGCTCCTCCTTCCTCGTGATCGGTTGATTCGATAGATCCAGTCCGTCCAATCATCGGAAAGCGTGTTTAAGATCGATCGGGAGTTGGTTCTTTTCCTTTCTTTTCTTTTCCCTTCCCTTGGCCTGTAGTGTGCTGCAAATTACATCCCGTTTTCCATCGCCGATGTTGTTACCAGGAGTTGGCTGCCAAAATAAATGGATGAAACATCTGAAGATGATGAATTATAATTGAAGTATATCAATTCCATATACATACGTATATTGGAGCACCTGTGAATGGTGGCTCTCGGAGGAAGAGTCGGTCGGTAGCTGCCGCCCGCAGCGGAATGGGACGTGGTAGATGAGCTCCTCCTCCGTGGGCTATTTTATTGGAAGGAATTTACATGCCTATCCTTTCTTCTTATTTTGGAAGTAGCATATTTACCCCCTATTAAGTTCTAATATCACAGACACATATTCCTTCATGATACCATCCATCCTCCTCAACCTCCTTCCCATGCTAAATTTAAGTTGGTGGGTTCGCAAACATTGCATGAGAATGGAAGGAAACAAAATTTGGTCAGAATCGGGATACAAAGGTGGGGGATAGAGAAAGCTCCACCCTACCCCCTTAGCAGGTAAAAAGGTGTGTCGTGTGCTGTGACCGAGGCAGATAATTACTGAATCGAACCGAGCTAATTTTTCGATTCGATTCACGATTCATAATCAGTAGATCCGGTTCGATTAATTAATATATTTTTTTAACTTAATTTTCGGTGCATAAGAAAACAGACCTCTATGGGATACCAGTAGATAGATTCCAGCAATCTGAGCTATCTCCTGTTGGATGGATTCTCTTCTTGCATCACAAGTGCCTGCATGATCAACGCCATCTAAACCAACACAGTCAGGGAGAAGCCTATCAAAATAAGCACCCTGTACAGGAATGTAGATGTGCACTGAGGGACATGCAATGCATATAAGATTAGACAACAGATGGAAGCGGCAGGCAATATAGGAACATGTTCACATCACTCTAGAATTTACTTTATGGCCTAGTTAATGAGAAACCTGAATTTGTACTCCAGACTGGAAGATTGCCTTGTTGAACAGGATTCATTAACAGCTTCTGTACCTTGTCAGATCTTCATAGACACTGACTGTCAAGAAAACCCAATCAAATACAAGTGTCAGCCATAATTCTATTTCGGAGTCATGAATCCATTTTCACAAAGTAAAAAAACACAAAAGGAATATTTTTTGTCAATTAAAACAAAATGATCCATTAGTCCCATGTATTTTTCTTTTCTGGTAAGGCACTAAATATGAGCACTCCTGATTGACTGAACAAGAACAAAAAATGTTAGGCAATGAGGGGTTATCAACACATTATTGATCCAGCATGCCACAGGCTAGTTAGAGATGTAATACTGTCTCAGGTGGTGCACCACCATGATTTTAAATTACACCTTGACCACATAAACATTAGGCACACTAGCATAAATGTCATTACAAAAGTCTACTGGTTTGAAAAAAATGTCAGATCCCTGTAACCAATCTCAAATACTTTAGAACAGATTAGAGCCTATGCCATTTTTAGGGAATGTTGGCAAACCTCTGACATATAAGCCACTAATGAAAATATAGATGCAGAGAGCCAACTTTTTATGGCCAATAGAGGGCTCTATATTTCCAGGATAACTATAATATGCCATTGACAGGACTCAAAATAGCGAGTAAAAGTTCTAATTATGAAATATATATGAAGAACATTCAAGATTTTATATACATTTTCAAACCATCACCATCTAGAGGGTTCATCTACAAATAGGACATGAAGAGAACGTATCTACGGTAAGAGAGGAAGTGGTTTAGAGACTTAAAAAAATCTATAGAGCAGCGATATTAATTCAAAATTTTGCTGGTTGTGAAGGCAAAAAACCACCTGTGGTTTATACAATTATAGCAGACTCCTGTCTACCACCACCATAACTAAAAGTACAGCAGCTCTACATATGCAACCATCCTACTACTGGATACTTGACATATCAGCATGTTATGGTTGAGGTGACAAAGGCTTGATCAAAGGCTTCAAGGACTCCGTGATGCTAGAAAATGAAGGTCTTTTCCATGGTTCACTGCAGCTCAACAAATAATCTTAGCACAGAACACAGAACTATAAGAACACATTAACTGTTAAAGAAATGCAAATCTACATACTTGGCCCAACAGGACTCAATTATAGCAGCCACATGTGGGTTTACATCACTTGGGATCTCAAGCCTTCTTCCCTTAAAACCAACTGCAGCGACCACCTGCAGGAAGACATTTTTTATTTCTTATATTGATAATAGTAATGGCGGCATGTTTACAGGTCTTTGCACATGTAAGAAATAAATGATTCTAAATTTAAATAAAATGCAACAGCTAGTAGGCAATAGATTGAGCAAATCTCAAAGGATTCCATTTCCTAGACCAACTAATACTTCCCAATTTTCAATACCATCAGTGGGATACAAAGCCAACCTGAGCAGGATTTAAATTACTCCATGGTTGTTGCAATGTCATAAGCTCCCACAAAATCACGCCAAAGCTGTAAACATCAGACTTCTCATTTGATGGTTCATCTCTAAGTACTTCTGGTGCCATCCACTCAGGCTAAGATTAAAATTGAACCCATTAACCAAATATAAAATGATGAAATGGAATCAGTTGAAAGCATATGTGCACTTACAGTTCCTGCAAGTGATTTAGATGAGAGAAATGTGTTTGCCTTTAATCTCGAAAGACCAAAATCACAGACCTGAAATTAAACAAAAGTTATCTCATGGTTAGAGTTGATGGGAACCTTGACCTCTCCACAGGAACGATTATTGAAGTGACAAAAAATATCATGACATACATACAGAACACTGTATACTGCCCATAGTAGCATGATAAAGCAAAAGAAATTTGAATTTAACAAAGTTTCATTACCTTACATGGTTGTAATACCTTGTCAAGAATATAAAAGAGAGACAAAACAAGCCATAAAATCTGTAGTTTCATAATTAGGTAAAGCTCTAGTTTCCTATTCTTTTGACATTGCTAGACAGATAGCATATAGGTAAATTATTCTGTCAACCTAGAGTTAAACATTTCCTAAATCATACACCATCAGTGCAAATACATGTCTTTTGTTAAATGACAAATAGAACATTCTTATATTTATGGCTTCTGCCAGCAAGCATGTACCTTTCCAGCACATTGTTGGAATGAGGCATGCCTGTGAAAATATCCTTCTATTTTAAAACCTGTATGTGTTCAGATATGCTCTTACAATTTCTCAACCATTCACTTGTCTTATTCATTGTCATGGTCGATTCTGGCACAAGGCGCCTGCAGCTCCTTTTGGTGGCAACCTATCAACAGCTTCCACCAATTGATTCGTGGAAAAAAGAAATTAAATAGTATATACATTGCATCCATCAATAGATGACAAAAAAGTTGTCATTTGCCAATTTAATCCTGAACAGGGCAGCATCACCATATGCTGCAATTGCATCTGACAGCCATAGACCAATTTTTATCTGAAGCACAATCATATATCTGAAATACAGACGCTATGTTTTGCTCATTCTGATACTTGTCACACTATCCAAGGATTCTTGGGACGGAAAGGATTGCAACTTAAAAGAATCATCTCGACTCACCGGATTTCGTTCCTACTTATTTCACCTAAAATTTCAGTTGCAAGAACCCAGCTGTACTTTGAATATGACAAGAAATCTAATTGCTTTTTGCAAATTATGAACGTAAAATCACGAAAAGATTGTCATATTATAGCATGTGTTTTGACATTGATCTCTGCTGAATTATCTTATTAACTGACACAGATGAAGCAAGATCCAAAAAAGCTAACACGAATTAATGGAATGATACATAGAACATTGTGTATCAGTGAATAAAAAGAATATTAAGATGATACAAAGCTCTCAAAATGTAGAAAATTTAGATCCTTAAGAAATATAATATCTCTAGGATATTAAAATTCACTATGATCTGAACTTTGAAAGAGTCTTTGATGCCGATAGCAAGCGGAAGATCATCAGAATTATAAATTTTGACTAGCAGATAGTAAAAGAGCATTACAATCATGGACCAAATTATGTGAATCATATTATGACTAGAAGTCTTACTTTCACTGTATACTTCTTGTCAACAAGAAGATTTGGAGACTTCAAATCTCGGTGAACAATAGGTGTACTGCGATTGTGAAGATAATTCATTCCCTTTGCCTGGAAGAGCGATCATTCTTTAATAACCATATAGCCTAAAGCATTATAAAATATTACTATTTAAGAAGTCACCAAAGCAAAAATGTCTTAGTCTCACGGACTCCTATGATCGCAAAAAGCACTTCAAAATCATACTACATAAGTGCAACTTAAAGAAACATAAAAGATATCCAATAAGTCAAAAAGCTTACCACATCAGATGCCATACTTAATCTACGCCTTTCATCTAAAATTTCCCTTGCACCATTTCTATGTAAAATCCGGTATAAACTGCCTCTGATATTACACGAGAATTTATGTCAAGGCTATTGAGTAGGCATACTGTAGGTTTAACATTTTGAAACATAGACAACAAGGGGGAAGAAGGCACAAGAAATTGGGAAAGTACCTTGACAAATATTCAGTGACAATAGATAGCTTTGGTGGCTCAGTAACAGCACCCATGAACAAAACAATATTAGGATGGCGTAGACTTTTCATTATAGCAACCTAATGCAAAATACAATGACGATGAACCTGTAAGAAACCGATAAAGATATAATATTCACACGTTACTCTAACATGCTTATGGTGTCCAAATAAATTCTCCGCACATACATCTGTGTGCAATGCTGGTGCAAACTTCCAAAAAGCATTAATCAGTAATGTATTTCAAAACAACTGCTTTCAAAAGTTCATGTCAACATTTCTGCAATAGAAGCAGATGACAAGCATAAAGATCAGACTTTAGTTAAACAAGTAACTTTAGTGCTCCACTTGGATTTTATAAGGTGATGAAAACATGGATGAGAATAAAGGACAGGACTGCCGAAAATATTCTATGAGCTTTAGAATTTAAGCCTCAATTTGAACTGTATAATCAACAGGATACACCTGAAAAACTCATAGCCACCAAGAGGCTTCAAGACTAATATATGTATGTTGGTAGGAACAGGATGACCAAATGATACATGCATCACAAAGGCAGGCAGCTGACCGGA